AATTTCTTGCCGAAGCTAATCTAATTATATTAAACGGACGTCTCCCAGGTGACAACCCAGGTCAATTTACATTTCATGGAAAGAATAAAAAACCCAGTAATATAGATTTTAGAATATGAAGCTGGTTCTCCCTGAACCTTGCACGTGATCTCGAGATAATGGACTTCCGACGCGTTTGGATCACCTCCCCATCGTCATATCCCTTAATTCATTCATCCTCTATGAAAATGATCAGTCCGCGAAACCCGAGACTAAATACAAATGGGATTTCTCGCTTGTTCGTGGTTACATCGAATCCATGAGTTTGACAGCTAGCAGTAGTAATCTTCAGTGACAGCGTAGATGTAATTTGCAGAAATATAATTGATTCCATTGAGGAGACAGCTGAGCATCTGAATATGAAGAAGAAAACAAATACGAGAAAAACAAATCCCAAAACACCCTGGGATGATCGTGAGTGCGCTCGCGCCAGAAAAAAATTGAGAAAATGTTTGAAGGCCTGTAAAAAATCCTCATTTCTAAATCCAACTGAAATAGAAGCTTACGAAGAAGTGAAAGAAAATTATAAGAATTTAATTGTATTGAAAAAAGCGAAGATCTTGGAAGAAACAACAAAGTCTATTAGTTCGTGCTGAAATGCCAAGGAATTTTAGGATGCGGGTAACAAAATGAGTATAATACCATACTTAATAAATAAAATTGACCCGGAGACTTGGTTCACGTTCTTCCAGGAACTTCTGCCCCCTCGTAAGAAAACCCCGGCTTTGCCAACAAAAAATTCGAATCACCCTTTTCTGGATCAACCAATTCGGTATGAAGAAGTCTTATTGAGTCTCAAGAAATGTAAGAGTGGAAAATCACCGGGCCCCGACGGCATTAGTAATGAATTCTTCAAATTCCTTCCAGATAACTGGATAGTTTTTCTCAGGGACTTTTTCAACAGAATTCTTGAACAGGAAACGGTACCAGAGGACTGGACACTATTGTATGTATCAATGATATTCAAGAAAGGCGACCCTGAAAACCCGGCTAACTACCGCTGTATATCTTTGGTCAATTGTCTAGCTAAAATCTTTACGCAAATCCTCCACGATCGTCTCGTCACCTGGGCTGAGTCCTACTGTAAATTACCTGAATTTCAATCAAGATTCCCTAAAGGTAGAGGTTGTCTTGACAATATTTTCATTTTCTCCTCTCTTGCCCAAATCCACCTAACCCAACTCGGTCGAAAAGTCTACGCCTTTTTCATCGATTTCCAAAGAGCATTTGACTCCGTTAGCCACGAACTCTTATGGAAAAAATTAAGCAACCTGGGAGTCAATGATAAAATCATCAACATTTGTAAAAGCCTATACGAACGGGCCCAGTTAGCGGTGCGCACAAACTCTGGTTTCTCTTGCCCCGTTGATATATCCGAAGGAGTATTACAAGGAGAAATCCAGAGCCCCCTCCTTTTCTCCTTATTTATAGCTGATTTAGACCAATATATACGCGACAATAATTCGCGAGGCACTTCTATTGACCATAAAAACGACGCCTTATGTATCGCATATGCAGACGATCTCGTACTATTTGCAGAAACTTTTCCCGACTTGAGAAGGAAGATAAAAGTAGCCTCGGAGTACTTTCGATTGAATCAATTAACAATGAATAAATCCAAGTCAAAAATTCTCATTTTTCATAAGGGTAGTACTCCAAAAGACCTCACGTTTACTTATGAGGGTGAAAAATTAGAAATAGTTGACAATTTCACCTATCTCGGGATCACCTTTTACAAGTCAGGATTATTCGAACCACAACTCATTGAAGCGAAAACGTCCACACGTTCAGCTATTCAATCAGTTCTTAATATTCTTTACCATTCACGATCCGATACCTGGCACACCAAGGAATACTTGTTCAAGTCCCTAGCTACTAGCGTACTGCTATATGGGGTAGAAGTTTGGAGTCTGCGACACCTCGGTGAAATCAATTCTCTACAAACCTATTACTACAAAAAATTGCTCAAACTACCCATTCATACCCCTAATTACGCAGTTCGCCTAGAAACTGGTTCGATTCCCCTTGAGTCTGAGGTGCTTAAACGCACTCTGAACTGGCTTGAAAAAATCATTCTGATGGATGGCACTAAGTTACCAAAAATTTGTTTTAAAAAATTACTGAGCCTGGTACCACAGTCGAACGTGAAACCTAAATATAATTGATATCTACAACTCGATAACATCATAAAAGATCATTTCCATCTGGGAATCACTTCACTTTGCACTGAGGGAATTCTCAAAAATAACATCACTGATATCCTTACCAGCTATAAAAATCTATCAGTGATCAAAGATAGACATAGAGTTCTCAAATCATCACTTCCGGTATACCCCCACCTCCAACACAATACTAACAAACAATCTTACCTGAATTTCAAACTCCCGATACAGATTATACAAACCACCTCCCAATGCCGCCTGATTACACCCATCGCTCCCAGGATTGTATTAAAAAGTTCGACCTTAAGATTTAAAGATGAAGGCTATTGCCCACATTGTTACGAACCTACGAATAATGACCTATATCACGTCCTGACAGACTGCACAAAGTTCTATGAGGAAAGGAAAATTATGTATGAGAATTGTAAATACAACCAGAATCTTTCCAATCCTGCGATAACTATACTCAATGCTACAAATGTAGAGGAAGTCAGGGCATTACATTTCTTCTTGAATAAAATAAGTAAACAATGGCAACACTAACTATTAATGTAACCAAACTGGAAACAAATAGTGAAATAAGTGAAAAAGACAATAAACGATTACGACAAGAAAATAAAAAAATAAGGCAAGAAACGCAATTATCGAACACCGTGCTGAAAGCAGAATTAAATTCCTCTCTGTAAAACTTGAATATATGAGACTCACCATTGTAAAAGACTATGTAGTCAAAACAATGAATAAATTGATTGATTGATTGATTGATCGAACCTGACTATAATATGCCTAGCTAACTAGAGCGAGTCACCCAGTAATTGACTTTTTTCATTTTTGTGATAAAATCGATGGTTGCACGATAACGCTCAGAAAAATTGACATAAGAAGCAGGAAAATTGAGATACAGTATGACTGCTGTAATTTCGAGCCGGCTATTTTCGATGGGCGGAGTCACTGCGCTTCCACTTTCGCGCTTTAAGTCCCCACTCCTTCCGTTTACGGAATGGTCCCATCATCTCCCGGGCGCACAGCCTTATGCTCCCGAGTGTTTCCCTGACCTCAATCTTTGGGAAAAATTTACTTTGGAATTATGTACTCACTGTTTCCCGATGGCCGAATACAAAGTGCAACATAATGCGTTCTCTCTCTGACCTCCCCACTACGCGCGCTTGGCCAATGAGGGCTCGGCCGACTATTTTCGAATTCTCGGAATTCGTTTCTCCATCGGGTAGAAATTATAGAAGTCCTACTATCGTAACCACTTCGGTCATTACAGATCCATTCGGAAGCCTACTACCAATGGAATTGGTAGAAATTGAAAATGAAAAAGACGAATAACACATAAACTAAATTCGATTGAAGAAAATGTAATAGGCTATGAAAAATATACAATGACAAAAAATAAGCAAAAAGACAATTCGAAAGCATATTGCCAATTTATTAGCATAAATAACTATACTATACGCTGTACAGGAGCAATTTCCCACTTGTTTTGTGATAAAACTGGCAAGAATGTACATAAAAATCTCAAAATTTGCATGCGTGCATATTTTATCATAATAAATAACAAAAAAAATTGGTAATTCCCAATTCGTTGGGGGCATTTTCACCATACTTATTCCGCTAGACCCTTCAATGATGATCGAGGGTAAAATGTGAAACTGTTATGCCCCAAAAAGTGGAGCATAATTTCGCAATGATTCTGAAATATGGGCAAACGTAAGTACCACATATTTCAAAATCAAAACCTAAAATTAAGAAATATAAATAAAAATCTCAATATACCTGCATTAAAAGATACGTATATTTGCAGTAAAAAGTAAGCGAGTGGAACGCCATCAGCAGTTTCCACTGGGCTCATTCGTATGGAGTTATCATAACACCATCCTAATATAAAATAACGACCAAGACCTCATGGTCTCTCAATGAAATAAATACTCGAGAGACTATTGTCTTGGGCCAGTAACTTGATGACAGTCATTATCAGCATCCATCTGATACCTTCTGCATCGGAATGAATGCATTTGATTTTAACTTCGCAGATTTATATTAAAAAGAAAAGAATATTATTTAGTAAATGTCGTGTGTGTACAGTCGAACACTAAAGTTCGAGAACAGAATACATAGGATACAAGTTTAGGCTATTCACAAACTTTAGTGCTCGGCTGTATTATTCCAATAATTATCAGAACCTAACCCACTCGGAACTCTAACAAAATGAATTTAGAAAAATTTCAAATAAAACAAACATAAAAATGTAAAATTCTTTTTCAAAAATTGAACATTTTCTGAAAAACGGTCTTTGAATTAACTCTAATATTGGTTCGTCATAAAAAATATCAATTCAAAATCGAAATTTTACTTTTAATATTTTTTCTTTTTGTTATTTTTATGTCGATCAAGTTCCCCTCTCTCTTTTTCGGCTTCTCTTCTTGTATTATTAAAAATTTTTGAAAGCAGTAAATATGATTGGCATTTGTTCAATCTTGCATGTTATTTTTCACATTTTCTGACTGCCATTCATTATTAGATATCAAGCATGATTATATTGGAAAATGCATGATAAATAGAGATGCACCTAGTTTCAAAAAGTAAGGATCCACAATAAAAATGAATATTATTGGATTCTGATAACAGAAAATTCAATCTAACCTACTTAATATTCCAGTGAATATATTACCTAAAATTTTCTTGGTATCACACTTCACCTATTGCTCCTATTAAACGTTCAGAAGAAGATTGCTGATGAATTAGTCGTAAACTATTTACAAGAGAATGTTAATTGTGGTAATTTGTTCACAGATGACGATCTCCTCGATGAAAACCGTCCGCGAGATGGTCGGCGAGGGCCAAAGCGTCCCCGGACTATTCTCACATCAGCTCAACGACGGCAGTTTAAAGCTTCCTTCGAGCTATCTCCCAAGCCTTGCCGAAAAGTTCGGGAAGCTCTCGCCAAAGATACTGGTCTTAGCGTCCGGGTCGTACAAGTTTGGTTCCAAAATCAGCGAGCGAAGATGAAAAAACTTCAGCGGAAAGCAAAGACAGACCCCAATACGGACAAGGAACAAAAAGAGGAAAGACGACCTGATAGTCCTCACAGTGATCACAGTGAGTTTTTGTGAAATTGACTAAAGCGAATGTTTAGAACTGCTGATTGCTGCAACATCAAAAACGAGTTGATCTTCCAATCTATCGGGATATCCGCTATCCATTATAGAAATATCCGTGAGCGTTACCAGGTTCCTTTCTTTGATTCTTATGCTCAATTACTCTTTCCTCTTCTATGAACTCTATATATAGTACACGCATTGGAAGGCTCATTAAATAAGCATCACAATGACTCCTGAATTGTCCAGTTCTATTAATTTTTCTTTAACTTGTGAGAATTTTAGGTGAAAATCGTATTCGTATGATTCACTAGAAAAATTAAATTTGGTTGGATTTTTCGATGCCCCAAAGTGGACTAGGCAGAGAGATTTATGTATCATTTTAAAGAGCATTTGCTATTCTTCAAAATGGTGCATGATACATGCCATTAAATAGAATTTTCATCAAGTTTTGAGCATACGGGGTATCCAATTTAAAAGTTTCGGGAATTAAGATTTTTTTTTTGCCTTTTTAGGGTTCACATACCAGCTGCGTCCACGTCGCAAACCCTGGGTAACGCTAAATGCTGGTATGGCTTCTTATAAAAATTGTCATACCATGCATTCTTGAATTTAATGGACATTTCGAATTAATAAATTTAATTTTTTTTTTCTGAACCGAACATCACTGCAGACGCCTCCATGAGTTTAAGGGATGTTAACATGAACAAAAGCAGTCAAATTCGAAAAAAATCGAATGGAAATCATTCCACAATGCATAACGCGTAGAATGAGTTTGGATTTTCTTCAATATTGTTATAATTCATCCACATCACATAATACGCAGCATAGAACCCCCTCTATGCAAAGTCCCCCCTCAAAAATTAAAATTTTTTTTTAGATTTCAGAAAATATTTTTTCTAAAATTAAGTATATTTTGGTGTAGAATTACCCCCAACTAGAGATATCTGCGCTACGCGCGCGTATGGTTTTGTATGTGACGCTATAATATGATTTTTCATTTCGTTTTATTGTATTTAGAAAAGAAGAATAAATATATATATATAAACCGGTGACAAAAAACGTTACATTGGATTTTCCTTTATAAAAAAAGCATGCATTGGAAACTGTCATGGCGGAGGACATGTAAAAAGTGTCATGGCGGCGCATGAAGGACGCATTCTCATGTGAACTTCCATGAGAATGAGCACTGCGGCTGCGACGGCGCTGTTCAAGAAAGCGCGCGTAAATTACAAATCGGATTCTCTATGTGAAATGAGAAATTGTTCGAATGATAATTGATAATTGGATAACTTGCAAACCAAGAATGGAATGAAGCAAGTGGGAAATTACGTTTATCCTCATATAGTATTGTTATTTTTGCTTATTGTTATATTTATCACACATGCAGTCACTCAGAAATATGTTTTGGGTGTTTGGGAAATTGCTTTTTTCTCCATAATATAGTATGGTTATTTTTGCTAATAAATTAGCAATACACTTCCGAATGGTCATTTTGCATATTATTTTCTTCTGTCGTATATAATTCATCGTTTGATAATCCTCTTTTTTTTTCTATTCATAAGAGACACGAAGGGTAAAACTCAAATTGAAAAAAGTCGAATGTCGAAAGTAGAACTCAAAATAGCTCGAATGAGGACGAACTTCGGCGGGGACACCGACAGATGGCATTGAAAAAAAACGGGTACTATAAAGGGGAATCTTCATAAATAATTTCGCGAAAATCGGCGCGACTTTTGAAGAGCATTTCTACCCTGAAATAAGAAACGAGCAAATAATTCGTAAAAATATTTTTTAGTTCTCATTCTCAGTCAATGTACACATTAATGTATTGGTTATGAAAGGAAATATTGTAAATTCACCGAAAAAAGGTATCATAAACAAAGTTGGAGAATCGCAAATTAAAAATAGTATGGAAATATCGAATCAAAATTTTGAAAAAAAGAGAGCAATTTATTGATTTTTTCTTACTCAAATTTGACAAAATTTTTGAATTTCTGTAAAAGAATAGAGGAAAGTAGTAAGTTCTGGAAGAAATTTCCTTCTCCCGGAATTGTGAAAAATTATCGATGGTGAGAGAGTACTTCAAGTTGATGTTAGGACATCAGAATCCTTATCTTATTTTTGGAAAAAATTCACGTGAATTAAAAAAGGATTTCTAACCTCAAATAACGAATACATGAAATACATACAATCAGCGCATATTTTTTATACACGGAATTGTTTGTTATGACTGGAATAGAAAATCAGGGCATAGATTTTGCACACGTTTTTGTTTATGATAAATGGAATGGGAAATCAGTGCATATTTTCCACACAGATATATTTATGTTGAATGAAATGGAAAATTATTCGTTAGTGATGAGTGTTAAAAATTGACAAGATGGTTGAAATAGTTCATAATTAAATAAACTTGAATGTCAATCGTGGAATAAAAGAAATAAATCTTATATTCTTTCAAATCATTCAGACCTAATTCTAAGTTGTAACTATTAAAATATTCGTGTTCCATGTTTTCATTCAATTTTAGTTCAAGGGTTTGTTAAATGAAATCAATATTTATTTTACAAAATCAAGGGTAATGAATTTCCTACATGACATAAAAAAGTCTAGATTTTTTTTATTTGAAGAATGCCTATCATCTAACTTCTTCATTGAATTGGACAGTAAAAGTTCGCAAATAAAGGCATTCCGCGAATAATTGCCTTTTTCAACATTCCCTTTGCAGGAATGAATATGGAAATGCTCTAAACTTCTAAAGACATCATTTTTTTGCATTAAATTGATTTTTGTTGAAATTTTTGGGATTTAGGAAAAAAGTAATTTCTAGAGTAAAAAATTAAGTATTGAATAAGGTAATTAAACTGTAAACTGTTGAAGAAAAAATAACATTCCATGGATCTTTTAGTAGTAAATTTCAGGCAACAAGATATTTAATTCAGTTTGAAAGAGCAAGCAATGAAGTTCACAATTCATGACAATTACATAGAATTCAATACATTTTTCGATCCAAGTTACTAGAATTCTCATTTGAAAAATAATTACTCTGTTCAGAATTGCTCTGTATTTTTTATTGATAAATAAATTATGATTGTCTTAATCATTTTTTCAACTTTTTAAAGGTTGCATTTACTGACGTTTTCTTCAGACAAAGATTATTAGAATCAATAGTTAAATTTATTTTTCATTGAATAGATAAAAATAATATCCAACTTCAATACAGTAGTGTCCAGTATCCTCGGCATATAATCCACTCTCAAGTATTACCCAATAGTAAAATATAAGCAAGACAAAAGAAAAAAAAAAGTATCCAAATTCAAAATTTATTTGCGAAAAAAAAATCTGTGACTCATTTCGTAATAGCTGAGAAGTAGAAAGATAATATTTGTGTCATTTGATCTGCATCATTATCATGAATTTATTTTAATTTTTGATGATTTATTTTGTGCTGAATATATGAGGTGTTGATATTAGAATTGTATTGATCATATGACTCACAAATTAAGTGAAATACCGAATGAGCTAATTAGAAAAATTTATAAGTATTGACACCCACTTTTACTAGAGTATCAACAATCATTGAATTTCAGAAATTTACTCTCTGAATTACGTTCGAGAAAATAATTTTATGATTAAAATATTACTCCGTGATCATAGCAATTAGCAGATGAGTAATTCATTGCAATATGAAGAATTAACAACTAATAAATTGGAACATATCATTTTCATCATTCGCATTGCTTTTTGCAACGAGAACGATTTCGAACAAGACATTAAATTTCTTTGGCATGAAATTAATGTTCAGTGAAATTCCGGAAGCGGAAAAATTCATAAAAATTCAGGAAAAAATACTATTACAATGATCATCAATTTTTCACTTCGAGAGTGAAAAAATGGAAGCTATTAAATTGTTTACATAAAAAATAATCATGGTCGTAGTCTACTTCGGTAAGTTGACTTTCTATTTTCCACTTTCAAGATTTTTTAAATGTTCTCTAATAGTTATGGGTCAATAGCAATTAAACTGTTGAAAAAAAATAAATAAAATTTTATGCTCAGTTTAGTAGCAATTTTTAGTGGAGAAACATTGATTTCAGTTTGAGAGGGAAAAGTTATGACATTTCAAATTTCACTGAAAATTCACTAGAAATCAACACTTTTTAATAGCATGAAGATAAAAACTCTGAAGTTACATGAATTTTCAACCGCACAATATTTACATTAAAAAGTTGTATTAAGAATAAAAGGCTGTAACTTACCATTCCATGACAGCAAAGAACAAGAATTAGAATGTTTATGTAATTATTTATATGAATTTTCAATTCACAAAAAATGAAGGAGCAGAAATCAAATTGTAATGTTAAGTTCGAATTTTGAATTTGAAAAATATTTTTAAAAATTCTAAGTATGGAACGATGATATGAACAACAGATTAATTGAATTGCCGAGCGAACGGATTAAAACATTTCATAGCAACGTTGGGGTACTCAACTTTAACCAAAGTTTCACCAAACATTGACCTCAAGCAATTTACTCTCTGAATTATATTTGAGAGAAAGTTGAGAAATGAGTCACAATGAGAAAAAAAATTAATTGCTAATAAGTTGGGATATATTATTTTCTTTAGTAGTATTACTTTTTGCAATGAGAATGTTTATGAACAATGAACATCATTGCCTCAATTGCGTGATGAAAATGAAAAGACAACCTTTCAGTTTGCCTGAGGTTAATAATGAAAAGGNAATTAAACTGTTGAAAAAAAATAAATAAAATTTTATGCTCAGTTTAGTAGCAATTTTTAGTGGAGAAACATTGATTTCAGTTTGAGAGGGAAAAGTTATGACATTTCAAATTTCACTGAAAATTCACTAGAAATCAACACTTTTTAATAGCATGAAGATAAAAACTCTGAAGTTACATGAATTTTCAACCGCACAATATTTACATTAAAAAGTTGTATTAAGAATAAAAGGCTGTAACTTACCATTCCATGACAGCAAAGAACAAGAATTAGA